CCCAAATTAAACTACCTCTGTCATGTATAGACGTCCATTACATGTTTTGCATTTCAAACTCCCATTACCTTGCCGATGTGACCTTTGCGAATATTGTTATTTTGTGGGATTTACTTCAATAAATCGGAGATTTCGTTTTCTAAATATCCGATTTCATAATCCTAAAAATGAGGGTGCATAACTGACCATTATGTGGCTTTGGATTTACACCTTAATAAGATGGTAGATTAGTAGATAATGCTAATGACAGCACAGGTATATGACGCCTGAAACCGATGCAACTAGAGAAGGCAAATGAGATTTAACCAAGTATCAAGTGACCCGAGAAATCGCGTACGTGATTTGTAGAATCTTGTCCAACGCATGGGCTATAAAGAGCACCATAACGCTGGGGCGACGGCACTCTTTACCTTATTCCGCACGATTTCGTACATTGAAATCAATGAATGCAATTAAAACCTATCGCTCTTAAAAATGAGAATTGCTAAGTTCTAAAGTTCCGGAGCCGTCCTGTGAACTCAGTACGGAACTCAAAAGAAGGGCAGTAGTAGAATGCACTATCAAAATATATTGAGACAACTTATTTTCAGTGACTAGGATCCTCCACCCCTGATCGCAAGGACTAGAAACTCGTCAATACAAATTGAAGTGAAAAGATTTATGCCGTGTGAGGAACAGGAATTGAAATACAAGAACTGAAAGGAGTAAGGACTGACTAGACAACAACGCATACCTACCTCGTTCAGAGGTAGAGATTGGTAGAGCATAAGACGACAGGTGATTTCGGTAACAATCCAGAGGTAGGAAATTCAAACTGCACGATAAATAGCGACCAACAAGTTGTCAAACAGAAAATAACGGCAGAAACGATGCGCGAATCCGGAGCTTTGAGCGTTAACTTATTAGCTAATGAAGACAGACAACTGAACTCACGGATTGTACCAACTTACAGGACTTTTAAAACCACCACAAACTGCATACACCCTACGGTAAAACCTTTCAACGCATATCTTCTCTATTAATTTTATGGTACCGATTCGGTAACAAATGCTTATACCCAAACCGTTGGGTAAGAGTAAACAATACGATAGAGTATGAGGTGGCAAACGCAATAAGTGGTAAAATATGCCATTACAAATACAATACATCCAAACGTGGGTTGAAGAGGGCTGTTGGTCAGATGTCGTTAAGCGTTTCGTTGGTCAGCATTGGAATGGTTATATCTGAAAGATCGACAGCAACTTATTTGCCATTGCGTCTTATTCAAACAAATGGAGCAATCAACATCCTAGTAATAACACGAAAATTTATTCTGTCTTAAAACCTAGGGGGGAGGGGGGTGGAGAAAGAATTTATAATTCTTACCAAAGTGGTTTTCAATTTGTTGAAGCAAATTCTCGTCATCTGGACCAGCGAAGTTTATGGCCAGACCGCCCTTGCCGAATCGACCGGAACGACCGATACGGTGAAGGTAGGTTTCGCAGTCTACCCGGCCCTGTCTGTCCAATGGTAGTCGCCAATTTATAACCAAGTTGACCTATTGTCTCCCGTAGAGGCATACAAAGAAAACTATGAATGATGCGGCTTCATCTGACCAACGCAGAGTAGATTTCAGTGCAGCTAAAACTGCGAACTATGTGAGAACCTATGGATTACACACTACAACTCAGCGTTCGGTTGCTCTATTAGGCAGGGTGAAATCGTTCAGAATTTTTGGGATCAAAAACGATTTACGAACTTGAAAATTCCGCACCTGAGGAACATCAAGACCTCGAGAGCAGAGATTTGTGGTAATGAGAACACGAAAATTGGCTTTGCGAAAGTCTTCAATCACAGCTTCGCGTTGCCGCACATCCAATTCGCCAGAGAGGAGAACCACTTTGTGGCCATCACGGGTCATCTGGCGCTGCAGCCAACTAGCTTCCCGTCGGGTCTAAAATTAGCAAAAAACTGTATTAAACAGAACTCCTCCTTCAGAAGCTAGTACTGGTAAATTTAGTGGATATAAGGCAACACAAATTAACCAAAATGATCAAAACCAGAGCGACACAAAAGAGCACAAAAATGAGACATCTCAGAGAAAAACGGATGCAAAAGATTATGACCCATACCGCACAGAAGATGATGGCCTGACCCACGTGGAAAGAACCATAAATCTCGGTGAGGCGATCGTACTTCTCTTCGGTAGTGGGAGCGAAGAGATAGACTTGTTTGATATTGGTCAAAGTAAGTTGGTTACGCCGCACTCGAAACTCTACTGGATCAGGGATGATAGTTCTAGCGAAATCAATCACCTCCTCATCATAGGTAGCCGAAAAAAGGAGGAGTTGACAGGTTTTCGGAAGTTTCCTGACAAGAAGACCATACTTTATACTTTGAAATAATTTTGCAAAGCGATTGTTACCGCATTTAGGCAATCAATCATGTTCCACAAAATGAAGCACGAATACGAAACACAGGCAAATAGAAAAGAGCATAGAAATTTGATAGTAGCAGAAGTTAGGAACATTCAAAGCTCCTTTAGTAGCTTTTGACAAAGCAGAGCGCAGAATAAATAGAAAAATTTTGCTAGAAAAATTCAGCTTGGTAAATTCAAATGTCCGGTGGAGCAACTCAATTTTGTAACCCGGACGCTCATAGAAACGTGGATGAGGGACATTTAAGTAGAGAAGTTAGAAATGTGTGGGACCATTGATGTTGACCACCAAATACAAACTTACTGAACAATCCTTCTTGAGGTGTTCAAGAAGCCCGACTCTTCCATCATTATGTCTGCCTCATCAAGGACAAACATCTGCAAGGATTGGGGGTCAAGACGATAGGGCCCCGTTCCTCGCATCCATAATGACACAGTGCCCGCCGTACCAATGACTATCTGACTCTTGACATAACCGTCCTGATCGACCAGGGCTGAAGTGAAAGACAAATTGGCGTTGTAGAGGAGGTAGTAAAGGTGGATAAAAAAACAAAAATGTGGGTGAAAAATAATGAGTCGCTAGAATTGGAATGGAAGCACAATTATGTGTTTAGATCAAAGCAGGAGATTAGCATGCTACGATAAGCCCTTTTAGTAGTCACTTAGCTGTTTGAGATCGGTTTGATCTCAAATCCCGTAAATCAGACAAATTGACGAATGAAAAATGATAAGGATGATATAGATTAAATGTTCGCTAATGCAGTATACTTTGTGGTTTGAAATGAAGAAAAAAATGAAATGTTCAACAATATTTAAACGCAGAAAGGGTACTGCCGAAAAGCTTTTCCAACGCTACTAACGACATTGACGCATCCAACATTTATTTCCTGAGATAGAACCGAATCGGCAAATCTGAAAAGCTAACTTGGCATTTCAAATCGCACCTCCAATGGAATGAAAGCAGCAGGAGTGTGAGTATCGGAAGGTGGAATGGACCAACTAGAACAGTAATGAGCAGAAATATGTACGAAAACTCAAATAATGTGAGCAGAAAAGGAAGCAAAAAATGAAGTACAAGTTATGAAACACAAAGCGGAA